CTGCTCAGAGCCCGGGGCTCAGCGGGGCCCGAGGGGGGAGATCTCAGCACAGCCGGCTGGGAAGCGCCAAAGCAGTTCGGTGAAATAATGCTCTTTTCCCATCATTTTGCTTCTTTATTTTCGGGCTGGAGTTCTGGACCTGTGAGCTGGGCAAAGCCCAGCTGGAACATGGGGACATCCTTGGGCCACCCCAGCCCACAGGGAGTGAGCTCCATTCAGAGCTTGGCTGGAAACCAGCAGCCCCAAACCCTGGCAGGATTGTGAGGCAGGGCCTTGTACCCCTTGTTCTGGCTGTGTGCAGTGTGTCTGTCCTTCTGTCTGTCCTGGCAGTCTCTGAGCTGGTATTGTGGGTGTCCAGGTCCTCCACGCCCTGGGTGTGATTCAGCATGGCTGGGGAAGGAGGGAGAGACCAGGGCGTGGGGTGGAGGGTGAGGAGGAGGAGAATGGAAAAGAGAGATGAAGATGGACTATGGGGATGGAGGAGGATGGAGAATAGGGATGGGGATGGAGAATGGGGATGAGGATGGTGGATGGGGAGAAGGATGAGGAAATTAATCAGGATGGAATTTGGGGATGAAATTGAAGATAGGGGTGGAGGATGGAGGATGGTGGAGGAGGGTGAGGAGGAGGAGAATGGAAAAGAGGAATGAAGATGGAATATGGGGATGAGGAGGAGAATGGTGAATAGGGATGGATATGGACAATGGGGATGAGGATGGTGGATGGGGAGGATGATGAAGAAGGGAATGAGGAGGAGGATGGGGGATGAGATGGAATTTGGGGATGAGATTGAAGATAGAGATGGAGGATGAGGATGGAGGATGGGGCATCTCTGAGCACTTCCAAAAGTTCTAATCCAGGTACCAGAAAGCACCTGCAACCTGCAAAGCTGGATTGACCTCCCCAAGGCCCAAGGTGACCATAGGAGGAAGATCAGGATCCCAAAATATGTGGGTGAATGCCTGGTTAATATGGGAAGAGAGGAATTTGCTCAGGGGTCTCCCCAGCAGCTCCAGCCCCTCGGGCAAGGGGGTTTGGGCCCTCCTGGGTGGCAGTAAGGGAATTTGGGAGGGGAATGGATACCAGCAATTGTCCCCAGCTGCATCCTGCAGCCTTTGGGAGTGTGTGGAGACACAGAGCTCACCCCAGGACGCCTCCTCTCCCTCTGGGCAAGGCAGGCAGGCAGTGGCTGCCAGTGATTGATGTTTTGTGGGTAATTACTGCAGATAATGAAATATTTAACCATCATCTTTATTATCGGGGTAGCTCCGAGCCTGGTGGGAAACCACTGCTGCTTGGCCAGGACTGTGCTGATGGCTTTGGTGCTGATTTTGGTGCTGGCAGAGCCAGGTGGTCCCTGTGTGGTGGTGGCAGCCACTCTGTGTCCCTGAGCTGTCCCTTGTAAGTGCAGGGCTCTCCTTGTGGGGCAGGGAGGGCACAGACCCAGCTGGGGGACTTGATGTCTGATGTCTTGTCCCCATTGTCACCAGCAGGGTAGGGCTGGCTCTGTTTGGCACCCAGGGGCACCTTTAGAGAGCTGGGGGAGGGTTGTGGGTGGGTTTTTCCCGTTCCTTTGTTTCCCTGCCCGTGCTGTGGCTGAGGCAGGGGGCTGGTGGCAGCTCCCATGTGGACATTGCTCCAGGCTGAGGGGACACTGGGATGCAGAACCATGTCCTCCCCCAGTCCAGCTCCACCTGGTGCAAAGGGATTTCTCCAGCTCCCTCCTTTTCATGGGAACATTTCAGGGTGCATTTCCTGCATGCCTCCCCCCACCATGCAGCCTTCTCTCACAGGTACCCATCCAGCTGCCAGTTTGTCTCCATCTACCTGCCCAGCTCCCTATCCCACACACTCTCAAGGTTTTTCAGCAATGAATTTATCCACTGCTGGGCTCAGGATAAAATGAATTCCCACTGGGGACAAGCAAGCAGATGCTGCTGCAGAAATCATCCTCTCCTGTCCTCTCTCCTTCCCTGAGCCTCTCTGTGGGGAAAGATTTCTAAGCAGGGAGCTTCCCCCTTTCTCTAGCTTCCTTCCAGGTTTTTGGTTTCATGTCCTGATGGGAAAAAGAGGGAGAGGAGCCCCAAGGCAGGTTTTTCTGCAGCATATCTCTCTTCTCCAGCCTGGAGCCATCCTGGGATATGGAGAGGGCTGGGTTCAGGGTGGGCAGGGAGTGTCATGGGGTTTGAAATGTGGGTGCTGCAGGCACAGGATTGAGCATCCAGGAGTGCAGAGCCCCGCCTGGCTCCTGCTGCACCAGTGTCTCTGTGGAAATAAAGGCTGCTGGCTCCTCTCTGCATGGTAGTAATGAGGGGGAAAAAAAAGCCTTGTAATTAAGCACTCAGCTGCTGTCCTCCCTGGGCAGGCTCATCAGGAGATAAATGACTGTGTGGGGCAGCCAGAGGCAACAGGAGAGTCAGGGATGTCCTGGGGGGATGCTGTGGGGTGGGAGACACCTCCTGGCCCCACCACCCCAGGGAGGGCTCCAGGGTATTTTCTCTTCTCAAACAGCAAAGAAACCTCATCAAAGCCTCTCATGGGTGAGCTGCATTCCCACCCTGGCTCTGTCCCAGCTGGCCTGGCCATGGAGAGCTCTGAGCTCAGGTATCCTGGTGGAATGGCACACTGGGAATGGCAAACTTTTCCTGGGCTTGAAACAGTGTGGATTGGTCCATGGTCCATCTGTCCTTCCTGCTTCTGCTGGGATTAGGGATGCCTCCTTCCCTGGGCCAGTGTTTGCCCCATCCATGGACAGCATGTGCCAGCCTCCATTGGCTGCTTCCTGCTTAGGACATGACATTCAGACATCACCCATCCTTGGAAAAGCTTCTCCAGCAGGATCCCTGGGATAGAAACACCTCAGAGAAGTGCTTTTTCTGGCAAAAGCTGCTTCTCCAAGCCCAAATCCAGCATGAAGAGTGAGGCAGGATGCTCTGCCTCTGCTCCTGCTCATTTCTCTTTGTGCAGAGCCCATGTAAAGGGCGGGTGATGTCTCTGCAGCCTGGTGGAGCTGGTGGTTAAGGCAACAGATCTCCAGTGGGAGCATCCCATGCTCAGGAGAGGGCTGGAGTGCTGGGCAGGGGAGGCAAACAGGGACAGCCAGGAATGGGTGCTCAGCCATGCGCCGATGGCCCCAGGGTGCTGAGACAGGGCTGTGTCTGTCTGCTTGATCCAGGAGATTTGGGAGCATCTCCTCCCTCAGGCTCAGGGAGCATCAGCCAGAGCCTCAGCATGGCAGGGCTGCTTGGGAACAGTTGTCCTCTTCCAGGGGTTATTTTTGGAGCCAAGTGAGGACACATTGGCTGCGTGGTGGAGAGAGGAGGCAGAGACACGTGAAGGTGAAGGAGCAGGGAGAAGGCAGAGGGGCAGAGGCTGGTGGGGATCCTCAGCTCCCCTTGCAGCCCACACTGGGCCATGCCAGAGGGTGCCAGGCCATGGCCCAGCAGCATCAGCAAGTTTTGGCTGCCTGAGCCAGACCTCAGGATGTCCCACCACTGCAACCAAACCAGCCAGTGCAGCTGGGAAATGCAAGGGGGCATGGAGGACTGTGAGGGTAGATACCTGTCCCTGCTCCAAACCCACACTGGCTGACAATGGGGTTCATGGGGTCCATGTTCTGTTACTGTCTTGGGCCCCACAGACCCACCCTTGGCCAGGTTTTTCCAGTACAAGGCTGGAGCAGAGCATCCTCGTCTCTTTCCCAGGAGCCAGCCCTTGTCATGGTGACATGAGTCACCCCAGCCTTGCTTTTGAGGGACACCTAGTTACTGTTCCCATCAACCTGCTTTCAAGACTGATTTTACCCTCAGGTCCTCACAGGGTTCCCTCATTCTCACGGGGAAGCAGGGCAGGCACTGAACCTTCTCTTCCTCTCCCTGCCAGGCAATCATGGCTCTCTACAACAATGGGGCTGACGTGCCCTCGCCCCAGGAGGCCTCCAATGGCTTCCCCCAGCCCGGAGCCTCAGGAACGTGGCACAAGGGCGAGGAGGAGGTGAGGCTGGTGGAGCCCAGCATGGTGAAGAAGGCTCACCGGGAAATCCTGGACCACGAGCGCAAGCGGCGCGTGGAGCTGAAGTGCATGGAGCTACAGGAGATGATGGAGGAGCAGGGGTGAGTGCTGGGCATACTAGGGATGGGATCCTTTTGACCTGTTTGTACCTTGTTCTCCCACTTTAAAAAATAAATTCATGTGGCAAGTGTTTGGAAGTTAATCCATTTTTGGGTGAACCATTTGGAAGTAAATCCATTTTTGGGTGAAGCAAGCAGCTTTGGTGGGTTGGTCTGTGGCGGGAAAGGCCTAGGAGTTCAACCATTTTTGGGTGAACCATTTGGAAGTAAATCCATTTTTGGGTGAAGCAAGCAGCTTTGGTGGGTTGGTCTGTGGCGGGAACCATTTGGAAGTAAATCCATTTTTGGGTGAAGCAAGCAGCTTTGGTGGGTTGGTCTGTGGTGGGAATTTCCTAGGAGTTCATCCACTTGCCCTGCTTGGAAGTTTGGGCTCCCAGCTTGTCCTGCAGGGAAAGCTGAAACAGGAAGGAGGAGTGAAGTTGCTCATGGGTGTGCAAGTCATCAGTGCCACCTATCCTGTGCCCCACATGCCTGGGATGTGAGATCCCAGAGGGAAGCTGGGGTTTAGTCACAAGAGAAGCCAGTTTAGGGCTTCAGTTTGCGCTGTTTTCCTTCCCCTCCCCAGTTTTGGGGTGACAGGACCCTCTGCCCCCATCCTGCCAATGCCATGGCCACTGCAAGCTGCTCCCCAGCCTTTATTCTTGTTGGGAAACAAAGGGATAAGGAAAAAAGCAAGGGGCTGAGGAACATCCTGGGTGGGCAGAAGGGATTGGGGGGCCAGAAAGGAGCCCCCCATCCCTGCTGGGCATGGCTGTGCTGTTTTTGGCAGCAGCCAAACATCCTGATAGCTGTGACAGCTCTCTAAAACCTGATGGATGGAGCAAATTCTTGGGCACACTTGGGTAGGTGGGGACTGGTATCAGCTGGGGAGAAGGAAAATGGATTGAGGGAAGGCTTCGCCAAGGCTTTCATTAAGAGTGCAAGCGTGACCTAGAATTAAATTGTCTCACACTGACTGGAATAATGATTGTGCCTAATTTGTCATTATGGAAATAAATAAGGCTGACCTGGCGCTTTGGGGAGCCCTGAGCCTCCTGTCGGGTTCCTGAGCCCTAGTAGGGATCTTACTACTAGTAGTAGCATTACTGCAATGGGTAATAGCAACACTGCAAGCAGGATTGTTGTTATTGCTGTAATTGCTTTGCTGTTATTAAGGCTATTAATAACACTGATGATGGCGATACGCTGAAATGATAATATAATTACAGTAATAATCTTGGTCAACCTGCTTAATCCTCTGCCTGCTCTTCCCCTGCACACAGGGGCTTTCCAGGGGGGTTCCATGAGAAGGGATTTGCACCCCTGAGGTTTCTGCCTGCACCAGGGGCAGCCTCCTGGCCATGGCCTTGGGGGAGTTGTTGATGAGGGCAGAGCTCCAGGATGGATGTGAGTGTCAGCAGAGGGGATTCTGCAGGGATTTAAGCACTCCCTTGTTTCCTTAAAGGAGGATGGCTCCTCCTGCCTGTGCTGTAGCTCGCTCCAGGCTGCCTGCACTATTATTCCCTGCCTGCAGGCTGGATTCCTTGTCCAGAAAAGAAGCGTCAGCACATTTTCTTTCTTTCCCAAATCCATTCTATATGCTAAATGCTAAACCAACCCCCTTCTACAGGGTTATAAGCAGCACCAGGGGAATGCAGGAGGGAAAGGGCTGGTGCTGCTCCTGCCTCCATCCCTGGAGGTGCTGGGGAGTTCCTCCCCTTGGCCTCCCCCCACAGATTTGCTAATGGCCCAGCCGCAGTGGCCCATCTGTCACCTCCTGTTTGGCCTCATGTCCCCTCTCCAAGAGTACCGGCCCTGTTCTTAATATGCTGCAGCAAAAGCTGATCTCGGGCAGACATCTTCCTGCTGCTGTGGGCTGGCTGGTGTCCATGGGATGGCCGGGGCTGTCAGCTCTGTCCTCCTGGGATGGCCACTCTGCCCAGCTGGGTGCACTGCCATCGAGGGAATGGAGCAGAGCAGCATTTGGGGGCACTGCCCTGGTTTTGGGGCTCCCCATGCCCAGGTGCAAGGTGAGGGGAAGCAGCCAGGCTGCCTCCATACCCTGTTATGACCCTTCCTTCTGTGTGGAGTGTGGCTGGGGAGTTAATGAGAACCTTTCAGTGCAAATGAGTTCGTTAATATTAATTCCCCTCTCCTTGCTGTTCCCCTTCATGGACACTGCAGGAGGGGTGGGTGGTGCCACGTGCCCTTCTTCACCCAGGGCACCCGGAGCACTGCAAGAGGCATCACTGTCCCCAGCATGGGCTGTGAAGTGCCAGCCTTGGGGACTGCAGGGCTAGGCCTGGCTCTGGCATCCAGCTTTCTGGGCTGGTGGCAGTGATGCTGATGGGGTGTGATGGAAAGGGTGGGCCATGAGCAGCCCCTCTAGAGTCTGTGGCTGAGGATAGGGACACACACAGAGCCTGAGCTCTTCCCTCCCAGAGTGGCAGTGTGGTGGTGACATGAGGTCCCTCTCCTTCACCCTCTCCCCTGGGATGATGCCAAAAACATCGTGGGTCTCTCCACTCCATCCCTCTGTTGGGATGTTTTCAGTTGAGGAGGGTGCTCAGCTGCCCTTGTGCAGCCATGGGTTGTGGCACAGGACCACCTGGCCAGGGCTGTCACCTGTCCCTTCGCAGGGACACCTCAGGGACGGCAGGAGTGCAGTGTTTGCAGTGGCTGTTCTCAGATGCCAGGACACAGTGATTAGTGTCTCTCGTTAATAACCCTGCGGCGCCTGAGTCAGCGCAGCGGCAGCGCAGAGCTGGCACAGCTTTCAGGGCACAGAGCACCAGGGGATGTGCAGGGGGAGCTCATGAGGGGACAGAGATGGTGGAAGAGAGCCCCAGAATCACTGGCTGCAGTGGTGGCACTGCCAAGAGGGTTTGGTGGGCACTTGCCCCAAATCTTGGGTCTGTCATGGGAAATGGCAACTTCCTAGTCATCCTTTTCTTTTTTGGTGTCCCTTCTGCCAAGCACTGCTGGGAGGAGCAGGCAAGAGAGAGGAGGACATAGCCATGGTAGGGGACCAAGCAGAGGTCCTCCTGATGACTATCACCATGCCACCTCCCCTTCTGATTGTCCCCTTGGGCCATGTGTCACTTCCAAATGTGTAGAGTTCCTCAGCAGGTCCATGGGGAGCCCATGTTCCAGCCACAGCAGCTCTGACCACATCTTTGCCCATCCAGGTACTCTGAAGAGGAGATCCGGCAGAAAGTGGGGACCTTTCGGCAAATGCTGATGGAGAAGGAGGGAGTGCTCACCAGGGAGGACCAGCACGGGCGCCAAATGTAAGTCAGGCAGCTTCCAGTTGGTCCATCTGTGTGTCTCATCCCAGAGAGACACGTCCCTGATTGCCTCTGAGCATCAATGGGTGGGTGTGTGGGTGAGGGTATATCTGGATGGATGGAGGGACATGGAGAGGGTATAAAGTGATGGAGGGATGGATGGATGGATGGATGGATGGATGGATGGATGGAGGGATGGATGGATGGATGGAGGGATGGAGGGATGGATGGACGGATGGATGGATGGGTGTTGGCTTTGAGTCAATGCTTGCTTGATTTGATGTTTGGTTGATTGGTTGATTTGGTGACTTGATGTCTGGTGGTTGATTTGTTGATTTGATGGTTTGATGGTTGATTTGATGGTTTGTTGGTTGATTTCATGATTGATTGGTTGGTTGGCTGTTCAGTCAGTTGGAGGCAGGATTTGCCTCTCTAAGGCAGTGTCCTACCTCTGGAGAGGTTAAAGGTTATCCTGCACAGTCATTTGGAGGCCTCTGGGTGCTGTACAGAGGCCAGCATTGCAATGCTCCAATCCCAGAGGATGAAACCCAAGTGCAGAAGGTCTCAATGCTTGGATCACTCCACCAGCCAGGGGCAGAGACCCCATGGAAGAAGCTCCTCCAAGGAAATCCTGTACTGTTCCTCTGCTTCTAATCACTCCTCACAGTGCCTGGTCCTGGGGGGCTGCATCTGCCCTGGAAGAGGACTTTGGGCTCAGTTTGGTGTCCAAAGCAGCCCAGCTCCTGCTGGGGACATGCCAGTTGCTGCTCCTGCCCTGCACTGGACTGCTCCCTGCCTCACCAGGGTCCACCCCAGCTTGATGATGATTTATCAGTGCAATGCTCAATGGCCCAGGCAGCATGGCTGGCCTGGCGTGCACCATCCATCAGCCTGGAAACCAGGTCACTTGGGACAGGAATAGATGCTTCAGGTTCACTGAATATTAATGCTTCATTAGGGTCAGGAAATCAGGGCGAGGGGGAGGCAGGGAAGCCATGGCAGCAGGGAGAGCCTCCCTCACACCACTCTGCTGGCACGCCAGGCAGGGTGGGACACAGGGACATGGCTGTGCCCTGCCTGCATGGTGCTCATGGGCTTGGGACAGCGTGAACATTCAGGATGCTCCTCCTCCAAGCAGGAAAAAACAAGGCATGGGGGAAACCAACCTGCCCAGGTCACTGAGCATCATGCCTGAGGTGTTAACAAGTGGCCTTTGCTGGTGGGGGCAGGAGTCATCTCCAGGGCATCTTCCTGGCAGGCTCGTTAGGGCCAGCACTGTAATGAGCACATGGGGAAGCCAAAGGTGCCTGAAAGTTACTCAGGCAGCCCTGGCTGTCACCTTTACAGGCTTGGTTTTGCAAAATGAAGGGTAATCATTAAAGATTAGCCCCAGGGCTATAAATAATAGTGCTGAGCTGGAAGGAGCAGTCTCACAGCAAAGGATTGCTCGGAGGAGAGCAAAGCCAGAGGCGCTTGAGGAGGCTGGGTCCAAAGGAGGTGGCTCCTGAAGCAGCAGGGATCTGAGCTGCTGGAGGATATCCTGAGTGCCAAAGGTCTCTGCTGCATGAAGAGGCTGGACAAGGGAGTTAAATAAGCTTTAAATAAAGAACCTCAGCCCTTGTGGTGGCTGGGAGAGTGCTCAGCAGAACATCTCGTGGGCTGGTCCTGCTCCAGCTCTGCTCTGGGCTTTTACTGCACGGTCCTTGGCTGCTGGGACTGCAAGCCTGAACCAGCTGGTCCTGTTTCAGAGCCAATGCAAGGGCTCAGCATCATCTGCATAACTCCCCAGGGAAAAGTGAGGCGTCAAGCAGAGCTGTGACCACCTGAGTCCCTGGCTTTGCTCTTTGTGCTCTCCCAGCTCTTGTCTCTATGTGCACAGCTCGGTACAGCCCGGTCCCCAAGGAGAAGGGTTTGATGGACAGGCTGGTGTGATTGCAGACAAAGGCAAGTGTGTGCTGGGCAGGGAGGGATAATTGGAACAGCACAAGGCTGGTCTTGAGCTGCTGAGCACAGCTAATGGGTGAGATGCTGGCAGCAGGCTCTGGCAGGGAGCACTGCCTGCTCACAGAGCAGAGACACACACAGAGAATTAACCCCGCTCCCTTCTCTCTTTGCCTCTTTTCTCCCCCTTCCCACGGTTGGGTGGGTGGTTGAAAGGCTGATTCTACCTTTGGGACATGGCCAAAGCAGGAGTCATGTGGAGAGGACCCAGCCAGCCATGGTGGTGGCACAGAAGGGAGCCCGAGTCCTGCTTGAGCGATCATCCATGGTCAGGGGAGGGTGCCTCGTGCGTGGTTTCAGTCCAAGGCATCTCTAATTAGGTTAAACAGCCCATAGCCTGCCTGTGGCCAGGGATGCCAACACGTGCCACTGTCAGATCTGCAGTCTGGGACTGGGAGCTTCCCTTTTCTCAGGCAATGGCCAGACTGCCAAGGGACTGATGCTGTGGGGCTGCACTTCTCCACCAGCATCCCTCACTGCTCATCTCCAGGCTGGTGGGGGTAGAGGAGCCTCCATCAGGTTTCTGAGGGCAAATCTCCCTTGGGAAGCAAACACCTGGGCTGGTGTAGTGCTGGACACTCTCCATGCCTGTCCACATCTCTTAAGTTTCCTTCCAGTGCACCTGGATGTCCTTGTCCCTCCATGGGTGAGATGTCCTACATCCCCCAAGAGCAAATGAGAGGCTCTCTGTGGGTTTTGCTCCTGGGGCTGATGGCAGAGCCAGCCCAGGGAGGTGGGGGCATCAGGAAGAGGTTGGGAAGGGACTCCTGAGACTGTCCTAGTCCAGCTGCCAGGCCTCTACCAAGCCCTGCCCACAGCCCTGGTAGTCAATGGCAACCTCATGCCGGTTTCCATGGCAGTGGGAAAAATTAATGCTGATGAAGTCACTCAGGGGAGAGAGAGAGAGACCCTGATGGCTCTAGGCATGATGTCCCCCCACCCCTTCTTCACCTGCTCCTAGGAGGGACATTGGCCATTACCTGCCTGAAGCTCCGGGGCTGAGCTGGTGGCACTGTGGGGTGCTGGCCTCGAAGCCCAGATCATCCTGGGCAGTTCTCACCTAAATTTCCAGAGCTGGTCTTCTGCCAGCTCCTCTCACCGTTATCCAGCCCTGCAACCCACCTGGGCTGAGCCAGGTCCTGCTCAGCCCCAGCACTTGAGCCAAGCCAAAAGGGGCTCAAACAAGGCTGAGGCTGGGCCCTGTGGGGAGATGGTGGCCTGAGTGTCACAGTGTCCCTGTGCCAGCCTGGTGAGGATCTCTACAGGAATTGGAGCCACAGGAATACCCTGAGCAGACCTCCACCCTGGGGCTTTGCTCTGTGTGGACATCAAGGGACATGATCAAGGTTCCCTGGGGGATGCTGTGGCAGAGGCAATGTCCCCCAACCCCTGTAGCTGTATTGGGGCTGCTCCAGCTGCTCTGGTGGGAAACAGGGAATGGGGACCCCCAAATTAATCCTGCTCTTCCTCCTTTGGCAGAGTGATAGAGAACCACCACGGGGCAGACGGGGAGGAGTACGAGGTGGAGTACCCTGCTTATGGAGAGGGCTGCCTGCTGCAGTGTGACTGCTCGGCCGAGTGCTACCGCGAGGACAGCGGCCACCGCGAGTACAGGTCTGCGTGGCCTTTGGGGACCTGCAGGGCACAGGGTCCCCATCCAGGGACACAGAGCCCAGGGGCCTGTACTTTCTTCTTTTCCTAGCCTTGTCTGCTGTCTCCCACAGGTTGAAAAGACGCTCAAGCAGCTCCACCTCTCCTCCACCCAAGAAGAAAAAGAAGAAGAAATCAGGCCACCGCCGGAGCCGGTGAGTCCCCAGCTGTCCCTGGGCTGTCCCCTGTCTCTGGAGGGCAGCTCACCTCCCAGCTCAGCCCTTTGCCAGCCTCTGGAGGGGCAAGTCACCCCACTTTGGGGGGCAGTACATCCCTGAATGTGCACCCTTAAGAGGTGCAATGCATCTGCATGTAGTGATACTGCAACACATATGTGTGTGTGCACACACCTACTGCATGCACTGCTGGGACCTTGCCTGGTCCATGTGGGGAAGGAGCTTGCTGCCACAGGGCACAGCAGCAGGCAGGGTATGGCTCTGTGAAGGGTCCATCTGCCCAAAACCTCACCACTTAGCACTGGCTGCCTGAGCAGGATGCTGTCCCTAATGTCCCTTTCTTCTCTGCCTTTCCCATGGCAGCAAAAAGAGGAAACCCGGCTCAGAGCGCAGGTGAGTGACCACTGGGCTGGGTGGGCTCTGAGGTCCCCTCTGGGCATGCAAGACCACTGGGCACAGACTGACCTCTGCCACCCACTGTCCCCCTCTGAAATCCCCCTGGGAATTGGCCACCTTGTCTCCTGCTGGAGGCAGTAAAGCCCACGAGGTGGCAATGAGACACAGCAGGATTTGGGCATTCCAGAATTGAAGGCAGCCAGAGCCCTGCTGCCAAAAGTCCCTTTCTGTCCCCCAGCCCAAATCCCCCAGGAAATAACTGCCATGTTATGTTCATGCATCCCATGGGGTGGTCCAGAGGAAGCAGTGTGGCTGGGGGTGGTGGGAAGAGGCTGGGGAGTGCCTTGCTCCCTGCTCAAGGGCACCCACTTCCCCTCTAGCTGTGACAGCTCTTCACCCATCCGCAAGGAAAAGAAAAAGAAGACTGGAAAGAAACACAGACGTGACAGGTAGGATGGACACAACAGCAGGCTGGGGACAGCAGGGGTGGCTGGGAACAGAGGGGCTGGGGACAGAGGGCTGCTCAGGCCCTTGGACTGGGGTAGGATTTAGAAGTGGATAGGATGACTTTTCATGGGGCCATCACCTCCTCACAGCCACTGCCACCTGCCCCATCCAGCAGCCCACCTCAGGGCCATCCTCCTGTGCTTCTCCTCATGCCTAGAAACTGCCCAGCCTTTGCTCCCCCCTGGCCAAATCAGTGCAATCTCCTTCATCTCTGCCTCCTCTTCATCCCTTAGGTCTGAGTCGGGGTCACGAAAAAAGAGAAGACACAGGTAAGAGTGACAACCACTCCAGTGCCACCAGCTGCCAGCTTTCCCTGCCAGGGACCCCCTGTGTGCTGCCCTCCTGCTGTCCCCTCCCCTCTGCCCATCGTGATGGACCTCCCCACCCCATAGCTGGACACCGCTGTGTGTCCTCTGCCCTTGGATGTGGCACAAGGCCACTCTGGCTGACTGTGGGGCCCCAAATGTCCCTCAGGGGACATGAGGGGATCCCAGGCAGCCACAGCCAGGGCAAACCTTGATTGTTGCCCTGCTCTGCAGATGCCCTCCGCCAACACTGCCGTTCTAGGGTGAAAGGAGTGAAAAACACACAAAGGCCACCAGAGAGGGCACAGGGCAAAACAAGTGGAGGGGTGACAATGGCCTCGAGCCCTGAGGATGCTGAGCAGAACCAGTCCCCCTGTTTTCTCCTGCCTGGTCTCACCAACCTGCACCTGACACCACAGTCCCACCAAATCCATCTGGGATCCCCACCATGCTTTGAACCCCAGTGGAGCCCAGCTCCAGACCAGGCAGCTCCTTCCCCTCGCTCCTCCTGCAGCCACCCTCAGGTGCTGCCCCCGCTCCCACTTCTGCTAGCTTTCGGCTCTTCCCGCAGGTCCCGAAGCCCCAAGAACAAACGGAAAGATAAAAACAAAGAGCGCAAGAGGTGAGGGCCGG